CACCATTATCAAAAGACTTCGACGACGTTGATTTTGGAATCTCGGTTTTAATGACGCTCGTTGTTAGGGTCTTTTCAATAGCAGAGGGTTTTTCTAATGTTGTACTCTTGAGCTTCGTCTTATCATCTGATGTCGTAATTCGCGTCAGTCCTTCCGCTTTTCCAGTCGTCTCCCTGCGGTATTCACTGCTTCGTGCAAGACCATCACTTCTCTTGGTTTGTTGGCTCGTCTTAAGAGACTCCGCCGTCTTCAACCTTTCGTCCGTCCCTCCCCGAATGGCTTGCCAATTTATTCTTGAACCCATTTGATCTGATTTTCTTCTCGTGCGAGGTTCTTCGAATTCGAACTCGTTTTTAATCCTGTTATTCTTGACACTTCCACTGGTCAATCTCCTCGCTTCCTTCGCGTATTTCTTCTTCTTCGAATCTTCTTGGCTCGCGGCGTGCGGTTTTGAAAACTTCGATAACAAACTCTCAAACTTCCCAGATTTCATTTTCGTCGGTTCTAATTTCTTTGCCGCTTTGTCCTCCTTGTTTTTGTCGTGAAACAAAAATTTACTCTTTGACTTGGCGTCTTCTTGTTTTCGTTCGTTCCTGATGTCGTTAATCTTGGATTTTATCTGTGAGGATTTCTGCATGACATCGCCGGTGTTCTCATAAAACCGCCTTCTTTCAGTTGTGACTTTAAGTTGAGTGGCGCTCTGTTTTGCATCAGTCTTCACATCTGATGACTTTGACACTGGTTGTACATGTTCTGGTAAATCAGGTTTTTTCAACTGTAAATCAGGTTTTTCTTTCACTGATGATTTCGATACTGGTTGTACAGGCTTCGCAACCGGTAAAACAGGTTTCTCCTCCTGCCGATCTGCTTTTTCTTTCACTAATGATTTCGATACGGGTTGTACAGGCTTTGCAACCGGTAAAACAGGTTTCTCCTGCCGATCTGGTTTTTTCTGCTCCTTACGAATTTCAGATTGGTTCTGGTCCAGCACTTTTTCATCCTTAAGACTATCCGATATCTCCTCACTTGATTTGCTCTTTGGATAATCCTTTGATTCAGGAGTCGTTATTTTATTAATTAGCTCCTTTTCTTCATCGTTATTAAGTTTATTCTCTTTGTCTTGAAGACGTTTCCTTTCATTTTCCGATCCATTTTCAGTTGTTATGGCAATTTCTTCGCTTTTTTCATCGGCAGTTCTGGGTGAATCCGTGAAGCACTCGGACTCGTCGTCGTTAGTCGATTCTGCTGTACTCTCCCGATCACTGTCTTCTAGTCTGTCAAGTGGTATGGATTGAGACTCGTTATTGTTTTCAGTGTCAGAGGATGTGTCAGACTCGGTAGGCTGGAAAAAGGTTAGATGATATTATATATTAGTTAGTGTGGGTTAGTAGGATTAGTTAGTGGGTTGATAAATGGATGGATGCGTGGGTGGGTGGATGGGTGAATGGTTGATGCGATGGATTGATAGTGAGAGAATGATGGAAGGTAAAATGGGATGAATGTATGGACGGGATGGATGAATGTTGGGATAGATGGATGGATGGCATAGATGGATAATGGAAGAATGAATGGTAGAATAAGTGGGATGGATGGATGGATGGATGGATGGATGGGATGGATGGATGGGATGGATGATGAGAGAATGAGTGGAAAAATTAAATTGGATAGATGTATTGGTCGGTGGATGGAAGGAAGGATAGGAAGATGGGTCGATAGATGAATGAATGGATGGAAGGATGAATGGAAGGAAGGATGAATGGAAGGAAGGATGAATGGAAGGAAGGATGAATGGAAGGAAGGATGAATGGAATGAATTATAAGTGGATGTAAAGATATATGTTAACGAACGTGACAGAAGCGAAAACAAAGTTACAGAGAAAAAAGTAAGAAAAAAAATCCAAAACAAATGGAAAAAATCCAGTTTGTTTTTAAAAAAAACGGAAAAAGAAAAAAAACAAAAAATCAAAAACTATAAAAAAACCATTAATAAACGATCATTCGAGTAAAAAGAGTGCAAAGAAAAGTATGAATGAACGTAAAATGAAACGACTGCATCAAACAAAATGATATAAAATTCATAATACAACAAAAATACAACAAATCTTGTCAAATTAAAAACAGCAAAAAATAATATCACTGGAAACATAATTCGATGGAAGCAAATTCTACATAGCAAAAATATAAATTCTTGTAATATCAGGATCTTTTAACTTTAAAGCATAGTAAAAGCGTTAGGTACAGAAAGAAAAGAGTTAATGCCGACGCATTATGTCGTTAAATTTTCTGTGTTAGATTCTGTTAGTTTATGGTGTTGAAAATAGACCTTTCCACCTTCGGCGTGATGTTTTCCCATTTTAGACCACGTGTTATTCCCTAGAGTATCGTTCATTTGTTAAATGGCTACGCACTGGAAGCACATGAATATAGATCCCAATCTCGAACCCAGAGCCTGCGTTTCTTCTGGCCTGCGGCAAAGAACGAGGGCTCTGGCATAATCTATTTTTTGAGACCAGGATTTCTTGGACTTCCGGTATGAGCGCATGCGTTCAAACACTTGCCAAAAATTTTAAAAAATATGTTCCTGATTTCTGGTTTTTATTTTGATCGTAAGTAAACACAAAACCCTGTTTGAAAGCATGATTTTCATTGATTATATTTTACTTCTGGAAAATTGCGCATGAACAAAAAATTGATTATGCCAAAGCCCTGGTTCTTCGCCGCAGGCCAAAAGAAACGCAGGCTCTGGGTACGAGATTGTATTGATCCAACTTAATCAAAGAATCTTATTATCAAGAGGATGACATGTGGTCTCATAGGAAAACATTACGCCCAAGATAAAGAGATCTATATTGCGATGGAAGTTAGTATGTTATGTTGTGTATGCCATTGAGCCGGTCCCGGATATAGTCCGATCCATCGATCGATAATCCTTCGGTAATCCGATAACGACGACCTGCATATTCTATTTCAGAGTATTATCTTCCTCTTGAGATTGGTAACTATGGTATCCAATGAAATTCCATTATTCGTGACACGCGACCTTCCACGTGACATCACTTCGGATTGCAAAATGGCGCAGATTATTTTGGATTATAATTTTTTTGTTATATTTGGTAGACAATGATTATCGTCATGGAATAGTTAAATATAGAGGATATATGACGAGTAAGCCGTGCTTAAGTGAGACGAACTTTGAACTACCGTAAAATTTGTGCTTGATACATTATGCTAAAGACTTGGAATTCAATCCAGCATGCATTACCATTAATATTTGGGCTAGCATACAAATAGGAATAGAGTATATTTTTACGATAAAACATGCAAATTTTGTTCAAAAGTCCCGTTAGGAGCGAGACGTATTAGTTTAATCCATGCGCGCGCTTTTTTCACGTTTGTACCACGTTATATGAGGTCACATTTTACACCCATTTTGACAACAGACCTCTTCGGCTCTGTCGTAATGTTTTCCCATTTCAGACTACATACCATTCCCTAGAGTATCATTTCTTTGTTTAAGGTTTGCACTCCGTTACACATGAGAAGACACATGAGTATGGATACAGCTCAAACAAAGAATATTATTCTCAAGGGAATGACACGTGGTCTGAAATGGGAAAACATTACCCCAAGCCGAAGAGGTCTATTACGCGAGCAAATCAAGGGAGAGACCTAACAAACTCTACTCACATATGATACCAATTCTAGGGATAGAACCCAAGAGGTGAGTCAGCTAGTGCTGCCTCACCCTAAATAGAGCTGTTAAGTGTGACGTAATTCGAACGAAAAACGACTTCCGGTTCCAAATTAATAATACTTACTTCTACAGACATTTTGCTGTGTTTTTTGTTCATAGCAGGATTTTCTGTCCATATATCTAATCGTCGAAGGTAGAGAATAAATCCTGGGAATAAGTTGCGGAAAGGTTTTAGCAATGTTTCGTGTTATTGGCCAAGGAAGTACGTCACGACTTAAAAACCCTATTCTTGATTCTCAAAGAGAGATTTCCTAATAACGTATGAATCGATTTGTAGCTATGAACTGATAAATCATTTGTAATTACCTGAAGAAGCACTCCTTTGTTCAGCGGTCCATTCTTCTTACTAAGGAGAGCAAATCGACTGATTGCGATCAATTTGTTCACAGATTTCTATCAAGATAAACAACCAATATCAGACACAAACAAGCATAAATACTCAAAATGCGATAAAACCATATGCACTAATCCTATAATTCAATTTAAGTGGAATTTGAGCATGCGTAATTACCGGCGCCTTCGTTCTTCTTGGTCAGCACTATTATACCTAATTCATGCGAAGTAGCCTAGTTTTCTTACCTGCCATCGCGCACGTGCAGTGAACTTTTTAAAGGCTTCGGTTTTGATGAGTGTAGATCTTCTTGTCTTTGCTTCGCTCTGTCATGGCAGGAGTAAGAAAGACAGTTAATAGAGAGTTTTAGATTTACGTTCACGGCAA